TCACAGTCTGGAGGCTGGAAAGTTCAAGGTCAAGGCGCCAGCAAATTCGTTGTCTGGTGAGAGCTGGTTTCCTCATACATGGCTGTCTTTTCACTGTAACCTCAGATGGTAGAAGGAAGGAGGGAGCTTTCTTGGGCCTTTTTTATAAGGGCACTAATGCCACTGATGAGGGCTTCACACTCATGACCTCATCACCTCCCCAAGCCTGCAGCTCCTCCTACCATCCCCTTGAGGATTAGGATTTCAACAAATAAAGTTTGGGGAAAAACAAACATTCAATCTTTACCAAGGGGAAGAACTAACACAGCATTCCTTTCAATGTTAACCTCAAAAAATCAAATTGTTCGGTGTTTTGCTTGTGGAACAGGTTTTGCATTAATAGTTTTTACTTAAGAATCATAAATGGCCTACAATGTGTTTAAATATGAATTGAAACACAGTATGTTTAAATTATTTATTGATGACTTACTAGATTTTATAGGCCTTAATCTTTCATAAGTTAATAAACCAGAAAACAGTCTTAGAAATACCGGATGAAAAAACTGTTTCTAACCAAAGCATAAAGCATAGCAAATTGACATTTATCTTTTAAATTAAAAAGATTTTGATTCTACTCAGACTGTTGTACATCATAAACTTAAGACCCTGAAACTCTGGGAACTTTTGAAATCAAAACATAAGGTTATAGTCCATTATTCTGAAATATGTTTCTATAGGGGGAAAAAACACACCCTTCCATAGAGGAATTAACTGTAATTGTAATAACAAATGACACGAAATAAAGACATAAATTAGACATATATGGCAAGCATCCTTTTGTAGATTTTATTTTTTTCTCGGATAACTATATTAAAAGCCAATTAAATCTGCTTGAGCCCTAGAAGGTTGAACGCTATGAATATAAAACAAAACAAAATACTGTTAGGTTATTGCACATTTAATTATTTCCTTACCTTTGTTGAACATACTTTGTAACTAACCAACATAATAAGCTTCTGTAATGTCTTGTTAAACATGATCAAAATTATCATTTAGTTTATATCTACAATACTATGTGGCAAATACTGTCATATTTCATTCTAACAACTATGAAAAGTTGGAATTATCCCCATTTAACAGACAAAGAATCTGAGACTCTCAAGGATTAAGTCATTTCATGAAGACAACATAACTAGCCAGTAATGGAACAAGGATACAAATACAGGTCTGATTCCAAAGCTTGTGCTAATGATAATATCAAAAGTCATCTTTGGCAGCACAGCCCAAGTAATGTTATGCAACTACTTTAAAATTCAAAAAATAAAAAAGGTTTATCTCACACAATGGTAAAAACTATTGACAATTGTGAAATGGAGCCATCGCACTACAGAGTTAACATCTTGGTCATCTGAAAGTACAGTACAAACTCTCCTGATAGTCTCTTAACCAACTAGCAAGGTTGACCAATGCTTTCCATACCCTCCATAAAAGCAAACTAACAGACACTAGCAGCTAATAGGATATAGCAGGCCCTCAAATATCGTTTTGTTATAACGTTGAAGACAAAAAAAATTTCGATTCCCAGATGGGGCCACTGTCTGTGTGGAGTTGTTAGCACGTTCTCATGTCTTCTTGGATTTTCTTCCATTTCCCCCCACATCCCAAAGATATGCATGTGAGGTGAATGGTGTGTCTACATTGTCCCAGTCTGAGTGGGTGTGAGTGTGTGATGAGCCCAGCGATGGAAGTGCGTCCTGTCCAAGGGTGGTTCCCCCTACTTTGTGCCCTGAGTTGCTGGGAGAGGCTCCAGTCAACCTGCGACCCTGAACTGGAATAAGTGGGTTGAAAAACAATTATCTTCCTTGTTTTTATTAATCTTTCTTAAATGTATGTACAGCTCACATTTATTTCAATGTTTAATATTAGAAGCATTTGGGGGTCTTTATTTAGAAGTTTGGTGATTTTTTTTGTGACCAGAAATATGCTTCAGGAACTTAACACTTGTTTAGATCAATTAGCCTATGGGAGAAGTGGTTTTGTCGTACGTTGTTTTGCTTCAAGTCACAGTTTCCAGAACGACATTCTGTGAGGACTGACTACTTTCTAGTTGCCTGCATACTTTTACTTCTACTAGTTAAGTTATATGCTTTACTAGTATCTGGTGCTTGTTTAGAAATCTGTTTATTGTGCTAGAAAATAACGAATTTATTTAAATATGATATAAACCAATGAAATGAGTGCAAAAAAAGTTATTTCTGTGAAAACTATGTTGAATGCTTTGGAAAGAGTCTATTTTGATTAACATAATTTTGATGAATATACATTCCCTCTTCCCCCAAAAACAAAGTCCTATAGACTATCACCTGTAAAACTGTGTAAAACATTAACAAATAATTAAAATTTTGTTTAAATGTAGAAGACTCCACACTCAGATTGCTCTGCAAAGTCTTGCTCCACTTGAAAGAAATCAAAACTAGAAGTCTTAGGTATATGTTACTGGTGCAGTTTATACAAAAAAGATCATAAGTAACTCTGAAAAACAGACCCCATTTCAGCCCCTAAAAGGGCCTTGATCCTACCTCAAAAGACATATAAAAATAATTAAGTCTATTATTTTTTATAATTTCTCACTTAAACTGACTTTTTCAACTAGCCAACCATCACACCTAATCATGTAGGCTAAGAGGCTCCTGTTGTACTTATTTAGAAACTCTACACTAGATTTCATATACTTTATTGAGGTTCTGAATGAGTATCTGAAAGGTTCTCCTATTTACTTTCATTTTATAGAGAACTTAGTGTTAACCATGGTTATCTAGTTCTTTAGCCCAGAGGTTAACAGCAATAAAATTAAAAGAAGGCAAGAATAAGCAGATTAGCAACAAAGATGTTGACAGCATGGGAATTTAAAAATCAAATCTAAAAAAAACAAAACAAAAAACCAAGTCAACTAAAGTGGTTTAAACTAGAGGCAAAAAAACAAATCTTATAAATTTAAATATCTTTTTAGGGCATTTGTAGATTATGACAGAATACAAAATTTAAATTTATAACAATGTCCCTTTATCATTACATAAAATTAAACTACATTGATTCTATAACATCTTTTTTTTTTTTTTAAGGAAGGAAACATTACTATTTTAGAGGTCTGTCCACATATCATGATTATAATTGAAAATATTTTGGGCATTTAAAGAGTAAAGTTTCAATTATCCAGAAAATTCACTCATAGAACAGTTTCTTAGATAACAATGAAGAAAAATGAAGTTTTACTGTCATCTTGCCCATAACTGTGCAGGTCAAGAAATCAATTCAATCGGTTGTGACAGCAATTTTTAAAAATGGAAACAGAACAGTAAAAACAAGGCCACATTGCATATAGCAAGGGTAAATCTGTTTCATGAAAAATTTATTTTAGTATTTCTATACTATTTTGCAAAGTAAAAGATATTACTTACTCTGGGTCCTGGTCAAAAGAAAGCCGTGGGCCTAAAGACTCATATTATTATTATGAAATATAATTACAATACTAACCTTGCAATCCTATCATTTTTACACCATAATGCTATAGAAAGATACAATTTTAAAGGGAAAAAAGTCACTTTTTTAGGAATCTTGATGAATATACTTATTTTTCCTAATAATCTGTATCCGTATATAACTAACATTTTATTGAGTTTAGTGCTAGTTTTGGCTAAAACAGAGATTGTGTGCAAATATTTTTAAACTCCTTAGGACCTTGAAACAACTTTTAACAACAAAAAAACCCAAAACAAATAGCAACTTTGATTTTATTTGCTTGTTTATTCTGAGGTGTATTACTGACCTTGGTGCCACTTTTCCAAAGTCACTGATGTAATCTAAAAGTCTAACTAAACTTGGCATTCTACACAACCAACGTGCTTAGTAGCAATACACTTGCTAATACTTCATGCATAAATACCTGATTTTAAGAAACAGCCAAACACTTAAAACTAATTTAAGCCACTAAATTAAATATGGCTTTTTCCTCTTCTTTCTAGTAAAATTTTAAAAATACTAATACCAAACACATATTTTAACAAGAAAATTTCTCTTTCTAATCCACTTTGAAAAAAGCGTATGGAAAAAAATAACCAGTTTAATATATATCTTTTTAAAAATGAGCATCTAATTCATATGAGGATAAATTAGCATTTCCACTCCTACAGTCTCAGATTTGGAAGGAACTTTGTCATCTAGTCCAACTCTCAACTAAATATAATAATCCTCTTCCAACAATCTTCCTTGGAATCAAATCTCCATCTGACTGAGAAACCTTTACTCCTAACTAGTGCTATATCAAAATCTTCTAATCTTGGTCCATGCCATTAATCAAAAGAAAACTGATTATAAATGAGTTTTCAATTCCTTTGAAGTCCTTAAAAAACACAGTAATGCATTATTCTCAGAAGTCCTGAAAATACAAGTTTGGGAAGGAAACAACACACTTAACCTTAGGGATTTTAACAGCCCTAACAGTTCATATATTGATATACTGAATAAGGCCCTGGAGTACTTTGCAAAGTTTTAGAGTTTGCCTAAAATACAAGAATCAGCTAATGAAAGCAATACTAACAATAAAATAATATTTGTCAACTCAATCTTTTACATTTCCTCAACTTTATCAAGTTCAAATTCTTAATTTGAAAAAACTTATAAACCTCTTTAAAACTAAAGTTAGATTGACTTTACCTAAAAATGAGTAATGCAACTCTAAAATGATACCAAGTATTGTGGCAATACACAAATGCTGTTTCTGACAACTTCATTTTGAGTTACTGCTTCACAGTTTTGAAGAATGTATTCTCTGATCTAGAACCTAACTCTTCCGTGTACCCATCTACCTTACCAGCTGGAATCTGTAACAGAAACAAGTAATCGTATGTAATACACCGAGTTGATCCTGCCGCAAAATTAGGTTAACGTTTCTAAAATGGGCACAGGGGGAATACATACATACATACGTACGTAGTACATACATACTTAAATAAATAATTTACCTCGGTCTGGCTTCATTTTCACATCCAATTTCAACCCAGGGTGCTGTGAAATACACGTATGGGTTCCTTCAACAGGCTCGCCGCTGATTCTATGGCTACTGCTGTTTGCAAAAATGCTAAAAGAAACCAAAATAAAATTAATCAGGTTCTGCTCTAACCCTCAGACCTTGCAAGAAAACGACTGTTAACAGTTAGGCCTCTTCCTGGCACTAACTGTGGTGACAGCACCATCGGCAGGTTTGAAAACAGCAAAACTCTTTCTGCACCGCCTCCCCCATCTCCTACGGACCGAACACCCCTCTTCCCCGCCCCTGTGCTTTCCAGGCCAAAGTGTCCTTCTTTGACACAGTGTCTCAGAACCAAAAGGAAGATCTATTTATAACCTGGAGGTACGGGCAAGGAAAAAAAAAAAAAAGATTCAAGCAACACAAGCTAACTAACCCCTTTGTAAAAACAAAACAAAACAAAAACGCCGCTGGGAACAGTAGCACCTCCGCAGTGGCTGCTATAGAAATTCTCCGATCTGCTGCCGGGGCACAGGAAACTCTTCAAGACCCCCTGGCGCCTCCCCAATTGCTCCGCCCGCCCCGCGGAGCCTCACCTGTGTAATTACCCTCTGGCTAGCCTTCTTGCAGCTACCGCGGCCAAGTTTACACAATAAGAGGATCAGAAAGCAACGCGAGTCATCTCCTTGCGCCCAGCCCCCAGCCCCAAACGAACTCTACGGGGCTGTCCCGGGTCGCCCCCTACCCCCCCTAGCTCTGCGCGGCCAGGCCAGAGATCTGCCCCAGGCAAGGGTTCCCGGCTGAGCAGCGCAGCCAGCCCACTGCGGGCCCCTTCCGTCCCGCGCGGCCCGGGACTTCCTTCAGCCCCGCCGCACGGAGCGCAGCGCCTGCCCCTCTCCCCGCCTGAGAGTTGTTTTCATGGCTCCCTCGGCCGACCTCTGCTGCCTAACTCGCTCTCGTCTCCGGTCTCAATCCCTCCTCCTCTTGGCACTTCTCTCCGCCGCTCGCCCGGCGACTCACATCACACTCCCACCTCAGACCCGAGGCTCCGAGAGGCGCAGGGCGGGCAAGAACGGAGTGTGGCGCGCAGCGCCCCCCGAGGCTGCGTTAAGGGACCATGGGGGCCCGAGACTGCAAGCCCGACGCGGCTCCCCGGCGCCCCTGTGGCCATCCACCCCCGCCTCAGCTGCCGCCTCGCTCTGCTCCCGGCGCTCAGCCCCTAGCCCCGCCCGACTCGCACCCAAGCCCCGCGGCCCCCGGCCGGCCCGCCGGCCCCGTGCCTCTGCCAGCTCCTCGCCCGCCCGCTGTCTCTAGCGCTGGCGCCTCAGCTCGGGGTCCCCCTCGCTTGCCCAGTTCTTTCTCTGCTGTTTGCCCTGTCAAAACACTGCCCGGATCACGTGTCCTAACAACAGCCAACCCACCGCTCGTCACTTCCTCCCTGGCGGCCTCAGCGGCGGGCGCCTAGTTGTTATGGCAACGCCCCGCGCGCCCCGGGGCGCTAGCGGGGGGATCTGGGTTTCCGTGCAGGTGCCCGGCGGCTGCCAGAGCGCGGGGAAGGTGGGCTGCGTGCGGCCCGCGGAGCCCCGAAGGCCGGAGAAGCGCAGGGCGCTCGGGCCGTGCGCTCTCGCCTGCGCACTGAGCCGGCTGCGGCGGGTCTGGGACCAGGAATCCGAGCTGCTCTATTAGCGCACAGGGTAACTGGGGAGATGTCATCCGAGGGCCTGCCCCAGACGTGAAGGATAATTATAGTCTCCTCCTCCACACGGGATGCTGGCGCAGAGTCGTTTCAAGAGTCCCAAGTGGATTGCAGCGCACGGTGGAACCGGGTCTAATGTAACGTGGTCGGGACAGGCGAGGGGGCAGCCATGCGTGTCAGGGGTTGCGGAGTTTAAGAACAAGCCCCCTCACCGTACATTTTCCCACATCACTAGGGATTTTAGTAGGATTGGGAACTCAAGCTCCTGGGGCACTGGCTGTGCTAAAAATAACTTTTGTAACATCTAAAACACTGACTCATGACAGGAGGACACTTTTGACACGGTGTTATTGTTGGGGAGCTGTAATTTTCTTGTTGTGCTGTAACAATGTGACATTGCATTTCGTGTTGTGATGTTGTGTCATCACTCAAACACAAACAGATGACAAGGATCTGCTGTAATTTTAAAAAGCAATCCTAACAAGCACTAAAGCTATTAGCTACTCAGTTTATAGGCAAAGTACATAAGGGGTTGTGAGCTCAAAACAGGGGCAAGAAGTACTAAATTTGCCATGCTCCTTGGTTTCATTAGAAAAAGCTTTTTTTTTTTTTAGAAATAATTTTGCATACAAGAATCACAACAGAAAGGTATTAAGATAGGTCTAAAGGTTATTTACTGTGGTCTTTGTATTCTATGATTTCCAAGGTTTTACAGTATGTATTACTTTTACATCAGAAAAGGTTTTGTAAAGTACAAGATTGGAAATTGCATTTTTTTTTGGCCCTCAGAGCCACTAAATACCTGAAATTTCTATTATGAAAAATTGGTAATATTTTCTAGATTTGTTGATATGTACTATAAAATTACATTCCCAACTGCCTTAACATTAAGATTGTATCTAATCAAAAGAGGGCAAAACATACAGCAAGGTAACTTTTTTCTTTTATTTTCAAAGAAATATTCTGGTATTATTAAGATGACACTTCTGACAAATGGCAACCGTTCCTTAATCTATGTAATGGCTACAAATGTTAACTCTCAGTAGATTTGACTTTGATATTGTTGAATACTGTATAATGTAGTTTCTTTTGTGAACTGACGTTTTACATGTTTTACAATCACTTAATTAACCTTGGTAATGGGAGACAGAAAGAACAGTTACAGATAATCCAAAATCCTAAATTTAGCACAACAGCTGGGACCAAATAACAGCTATTGTAAAAGGCTTACTGGGTGAACAAGGCAGCAAGATCTGTGGTTTAGTTTCTCTTCCTCTGCTTAATTTGCAAGTACAAAGACCAGAAAAAAAATGTTGAGAGTAGCTGAGAATGGTGGATAATTTGGAACACAAACTAAAGAATTCTCTTTTAAATAATTAACAGCACATGGATGGATAAACGATGCTATCTGAACATTTGTTAGACTACCTTGAAGCTTTTCATTGAGAATCTTAAGTCTGTTTTAAAATTGGAGATCATTATGGCAGTGGAAAAAGTATTTAAAAGAGGTGTATTTTTAGTTATTTATATTATTGTTTCATTCACTCAGCATACATTAACTGAGCACTCACTATCTGCTAGGTACCTGCTAGTCCCTGAGAATAAAGAAGTGATCTAAAACAGGGTCACTATGTTCATGGAGCTTCCAGTACTACTATGGCTGCATGGCCTTGGTCAAGTCACACTCTTCAGCCTTCTTTCCCCTATAAAAATGAGGTGTTTGGCCTCTGACAGTAATCTCTTTTCTTTCTAATTCTAAAACAATCCTGTAATTGCATAAAATATGTCCAGAGTGTTTGGAAATAAAAACCTACATACAATGGCAACTCCAAGTGTTGGTGATCAGTGTGTTTGCACCTTGGGGCACCCAAGCAAAACAGACATCTCTGGCTCATATTTGGAAAGGAGTGAGGGTGGGTGAAGCAAGGAAGTCAAAACAACTGGCAGGACCATACCCTTTTCCATGTCATTTGTTCTCCATTTTGTTTTCTCCTAGTAGTCCAAAGACTTATGAGTAATTAAGTTCAAAAAAGTTAACTCATCTTCAGCAAGGAGGTAATCCCCTCAATGTTTATAGGCTTTGTTGAAATGGGCATTATATAACAAAACTGTGTATTTAATGGAAGTCTCTATAAGGTCTCCTACTGATTAAGGTAACTGGTTTGCTCACTTACACAAGGCTGTTACCATAACCAAGGTCAGGGAACCAGGCCAGGCTATCAGAAGGAGCTCCACCAAAGTAGGGACTGGTGCCTTTTTTCTTCTTGTATCTCTAGCACCAAGCAAAGGATCTGGCCCACAGCCGGAGCTCAGTACTGATAAAATTTTCTTGTACATGCCCACAAACTGTACCTTAATACTGATTGGCATTTTTCTCTCTAGTGAGACAAAGCTAGAGACTTGGGAAATCATTAGGTGGCACAAACTTCATAAGTGAAGGATACATTTTCATTACACTTTTTGTGTTATCTCATAATAGTAGGAATGTGTTGTGGGTTGAATTGTGTCCCCCAAAATGATATGTTGAAGTTCTAACCCCTGTACCTGTGAATGTGAACTGATTTGAAAATAGGGCCTTTGCAGATATAATAAAGTTAAGATGAAGTCATGCTGGGTTGGAATGAGCCCAAAATCCAATTACTAGTGTCCTTATAAAGTGAGAGAGACTTGAAGACAGAAGAGACACAGGGAAGATGGCCATGTGACAATGCAACAGAGATTGGAACGATGCTGCTGCAAGCCAAAGAACGCAAAAGATTGCTGGGGGCCACCAGAATCAGTAAGAGGCAAGTGAGGGTTTTCCCCCAGAGACTTCAGAGGGACAGATGGCCCTGCTGATACCTTGATTTTGTTCTTTTTGCCTTCAGAACTGTGAGGGAATAAATTTCTGTTGTTTTTAGCCACTCAGGTTTGTTGTATTTTGTTACTGTAGCCCTAGGATGCGAATATAGAACTGTTAACAAAGAATACTGCCATAATTTTTTCTTGGCCTGTAAATTGTGTTGCTGATCTTGCAGGTTTTCTAAAAGTTCCAGGTTCTGAATGGTCACCAAACCATGGAGATCTTTAATTCTGTAAAAATTACAGTAAATCAGTTGCAAATGTGAAGAAAATCTCTCGTGTCACAAAGGAACAAGCTTATGACCTACAGCTAAGGAAATGATCATGCATAAGTGGTTGAAAATCATCAAAGGATAATATACTATTTTAAATATGCTGATTGGTAGATCTGTTTCATCATAAACTATTGTGGAAATAAAGAATAGTACAATTAATTAAAATGTATAAATAAATCTAGTCTTGCATAGTAAGTACAAAAATAAATCAAACTGTATACTTTTAGTTCTTGAAGCAATAAGATGAAAGGCAAGCTATCCTTTCCATAGCTAAATTGTTTCCAGTGATTCACTTAAATTTATTGCAGTTCAATTTTTTTCTAAGGGGGAAAGATCGGGGAGTCATTGCTAAGGTATTGCTTCATGTAAACAACCCTCTACCTTCCCTTGAATTGGTTAGCTGGTTTGTCCTCTCCTGTTAGTCTACCTTCTGTAACCACAGGTATAAGGAAGTGAAAAGTGATTCTGGTTCCTGCCTGCAGAAGCAACTCTAGTATTAAGAAATACAAAAGCCTGTAAACTTCAAACCATGAAAACCTTTAATATGAAGGTTTGCTGAGCTACTGGAGTTCTCTGAACCGCCAAGACTTAAGATCTTTTCAAAAATTAATAATAGTTGCTCACTTTTGTGACAGTAATTGTGCCTGACACTTCACGTATATTATATATTTGATCATACTATCACCCTCTCATCTTGTGGATTAGGAAACTGAGGCCCAGAGAGGTGAATAACTTTCCCAAGGTGACAGTTAATAAGTGGAAGGAGACGGCTTCCTAAATGGACTCATTTTAATTTCCATTGCAACATTATGAAGTAGGTTAAATTATTCCAAGATTTTCAAATGGGGACACTAAGGCTCAGAAACATTGAAAATGGCTGCACATTTAGAATGTAAATTGGTTTATATAAACTTAGGCTCAATGCTTTGAGATACGAGTTCTAAACAGAATGGCTCTGGTTTATTTTATGTAAATTCCAAAGAGCAAATAGTCACACTTAGTTAATCAAAGCTGCTCACATTTCTTGAGCACTTTAGTAAGCTCTATGCTGAGTGCATTATAGGTATAAGTTCATTTAATCTTCACAACATCCCTATGAAGTATTATTATCCCTATTTTATAACCAAAGACAACAGGAAATGGGAAGTTAAATAACATGCCCAAAGTCAAGCAATTAGGAAGTGGCAGAGCCAGAATGCATACCCAAGGAACATTACTGTGGAGCATAAATGCTTAACCACTACCTGATATGGGTCCAGTTTAGTTTGGATTTCCACCCAAACCCTGCACCTTCCTGCCACTGGGTCTTTTAATAGTATAATATCCTTCCCCATTTCCTCTCGAAACCCTTCTGGACTTTTAGGAACTCCAAGTCTTACCCCACAATGCCTTCTAGAGCCTATGCTCACACACATGTCCATCTGGTTTTTTCTCAGAACACACTTTATTAACGATCTTAAAACTACATAGTCAGGGCCGGCCAAGCGGCATGTTGGTTAAGAGCTGGCTTGGGATGCCAGAGGGGCCCCGTTCAGATCCCACAATGAGGGCCAGTGACACTGCCCTCTACAGCTAAAATGCTGAACAACAACTTGACCTGGAACTGGGCTGCTGTGGGTCGCCTGCGACAGCATAAGCTGCTGTCCCCTGCAACAGTGGGTTGCCATAAGCACCATGTGTAGCTGGCAGCCAGCGTGAGCGGACAGCAGCCACCTTGAATGGCCGTCCAGAGGCCGGTGACTGATCTGCCTTGTCTGGGAAGAGTGCAATGATGGTGCCAGCTTGGGCCAGTGAAGCAACAGCCTCCACAACTAGACTGAAGAACAAAACAACAGCAGCTTGTCTGTTCCCTTTCCCCTGATTCCCCAGCACTGTTCCCCTCCCCCAATTCCCCAATAAAATCTTTAAAAAAAAACACCCACATATTCATTTTATCTTGTTAAGGGCAGAGATGAACTGTGGTTTCAAGTTCCTTTGTGTTTTTTGTGTTGAGTGGCACTATCCTGGGCACAAAGACTCAAGTAATTATTGAAGACCCGAGGCCATCACTGTTCTGTAGAAATGCTCCAGCCAATCCAGGAGCCAATGGTCACACGCGGCTGCTGAGCACTTGACATGTAACTAGTGAAACTGAGAGACTGAACTTTTCATTTTAATGAGTTTAAATATAAATGTAATGACTGGTTCTTGGTTCCATTATTAGAAAACTAAGTATGCTTGGAACAACTTGGATATATGAATCTATTTTTTCCAATTGCAAATTTTAGAAATTCTAAATATAAATCAATTATCTCTAGTGAAAATGTAGCATCCAATTTGAAATGTGCTGCAAGTGTAAAATATACACCAGATTTCAAAGATTTCGTATGAAAAAAAAGGAAAGTAAAATATCTATTAACATTTTTGAAATGATCATAGTTTAGATATATTGAGTTTCCTTTAAACTTTTTTAATATGCCAACTGGAAAATGTAAAGTTACATGTACCGTAGCTCACCTAGTATTTCTATTATGCAGGACTGCCCTAGGACTTAGTAGCTTAGCAGCAACAAGACAAAAGACATTTGAAAATTCAGCTATGCTCCTCAGCCAAGTGATGTCTGCTAGCAGAGCAAATTCTGGGCTAAGGGAACTTGCTGCTTTCCCTTACTTTTCCTGTCAAGAGTTCCATGCATCCTAATGAGACTTGAATGTGCTGCAGCAGTGAATGACCCTTCCAAACACACACATTAAACCCAGTAGAGTTTTCACAGGAGTTATTTTTCTCTTCCTGCCTGTTAGAGAATCACACACAGAACTAACTAGCTTACTCCAAACACTGAGCTATTTTCAGAAGCAGTGATCGGTAGAATTCACCCAACAGTTAAACTCCCCATGATCTGATAGAGACATTAAGTCTATTATAAATCAAGCTACTGATCCTTTAAATCTTTTTATCAGAATATATCAGTTCATTGCATCCAAATGAGAATTCAATGATAGTGCTTTACATGGTAAAAAAAAAAAAAATAGAATCCATACCATTTGACTTGAAAAGTAGATATAAACAATAGCAGTGATCTCTGTTTCAAAATGTACATAATAAACTAAATGATCAGATATTTCAGAAAAAATCATTTTTGAGTTTTAGACTTCAAAATAGTTTGTAAAAGGAATCTTTCCTTAGGTTATTATGTTGTTATGTTAAGTTTTAGAAAAGAAACAAAAGGCTTGTAGAACTGCACAAAAATCATGCAGAAAATCCCCAACTCCTTTTCACAAATGGAAATGCTCACAATTGAAACTAAATTCTTCACATGTACCAGATAGAGCAAGATAAAGTAATCTGTAATTTTTTTTTCATAAATCAAAGTTCCGCTGCTTCTATCAGAACCCAAAAGCTCAATGCAGCATAAAGAGAATTCTAGAAGTGATTTCTTTATTTGCCTGCAGTCTATATCTCAATAATTCCATACTGCCATGATTCAGAGAGAACGAACATCAGCTACCTTCTGATTCCAAATGGCACCCGCAAAATTCTGTACTTGCGACTCAATGTAAATGGTCTTCATTTCCAAAATGTTATTTCTTCCAACATAAGTTTAATTCAATTCAGCATTCATTGAACTTTGTATGCCAAATAGTTTGCTGGGCACTAGAGAGACAGAAACCAGAAAAGCAAGGAACTTCAAAAATTTTATTAATCCAAAAGGATAT